TTTGTTACGTTGTGTGTCTTGTTTACTGAATTCTGTTTATTTTCGTAACTGTTTTGGACTTTTGGTCCGCGTTGTGTTCTTTGTTTTTCTGTGCTGAATCTAACCGTATAAAGAACGTGAATTTTGGACAAACGGTTGGAAAGTTATAGGCAAAACACTGGACAAAGGTCGAAACTGGAAAAACAGATAAACGAATCTGCCCAAAAACGACCGGTCGTTACTGTTCAGGCGACCGGTCGCACATGAATCTGTCCAAATAAGACCGGTCGTCACTGTTCATTTTCACTGTTCATGTCACTGTTCATAGGTGATAAATAGGTGATAAAAGGGTGATAGAAAGTGTTGTTTCTGTTTTTCTTTGGTTTCTTGTGTTGTTTCTTTTCTTTTACATTTCTTTACTCATTTCTAGTTTCCCTTTTTCATTTGTGCATTTGTGGTGTGTTAAATAAGTGTTCTTTACGTACTCAAACTAGAACTTATAGGAAGCCGACAAGTTCTTTGTGGGATCGACCCCGTACTTACATAATCTTTACTTCATTAGATTCGTACACTTGCGGGTATTTTTAATTGGTTGTTTGCACATTAATTTGTGTCCTTTTAGGAATGCAACAATCATCACGCATTCTGGCATATTTAAATTCACGCCTCATATTTTGCAATTTTACTGACCTTACTTGATCACCACCATGATACTCTCCATACAGCAAATCCCATGCCATTTTAGCTGATTCAGCATTGGCAATTCGTGGAAAAATCTTGTCTGAAACAGCATTCTGGATAATATCCAGAGCTTTTGCATCTTGCATATAGGCAGCCGCTGTTTTCTCATCATCTACCGCTTCTGAGCTTCCTTCAGCCTTCTTCTTCTTTGGATCTGAGGTCATAACCTATGTTGCACGGACACGGATACAGGGACACGGGAATGTGACACGGCGACACGGAAAATCTCAAAAAAGTAGGACACGGACACGGCTAGGACACGGCAATTAAAATAATAATTAATTCTCAATATTTCAAGACAGAGAAACAAGACTTTTATTAAAAATAAAAAACCAAATACAGATAAAATCATACAAAGATACAAAACACATCAAAACAGAGAAACAAAATAAAACATGGTTCACATTCATTATGTCTAATAGTCTAATACCCAATTAATAAAACAAATTCAAATATACTCAACAACTAATAACAAGACTTTTATTAAAAATAAAAAAAGCTCCAAACAAATACAATCATACAAAATACCCACACACAACAGAGAAACAAAATTAAAAATCTGTGAAGCCTAACCTGAGTTTGCAAGAAGGAATCGTCCTTCTTGGTCACGATTTGCAAGAAAGAATCGTCATTCTTGTTGTGTTTCTCTTAAAAAAAAACATAAGAAATAATCTTCACCTCACCACCAAATTCAACTCTTCTACTGCTGTGAAGAGGGAGATAAGAAAAGAAAATAGAGATAGATAACATAAAAAAAGAATTTGAAAACAAAGGGAAAAATGTGGGATTCATTTAGGTTTAAGAAAGTCTTTTTCCACTTTTAACCCATCTTTTTAAAAATATTTCAAATCAGTCCACTAAAGTTTCAAAAATCACATTTAGACCCCAACTTTTATTTTCAAAATTTCAATCTGGTCCCTGCCGTGTCTTGACCGTGTCGGAGCCGTTTCTTGACCGTGTCCCAGCCGTTGACCGTGTCCAACGCGTGTCGGAGGCGTGTCGGAGCCGTGTCGGCGTGTCGGCGTGTCCGACACTCCGACACTCCAGTAGTTTGGAGTGTCGGTGCAACATAGGTCATAACCCCCTTTTCAACCAATTTCCATAACCCATGAGATTTGAAGATCGTCACCATCTTGATTCTCCAGAACTCGTAGTTCTCACCGGAGAAGATCGGAGTTCTCACCTCAGAACTTCCAGATCCAGCCATCTCTTAGCTTAGATGATACGAATCTCAAATCAAAAACTAAATCGAAATCTATGGAGTTCCAGCGACTTCACCTGAACCAGAATGAGCTTGAATGTAGCTCGATTGCAGCACAGTGTACGCCCAGATTTTCAAATGATCGAACCTGGCTCTGAGGCCGGCCATGTTAGCATTTTCAATCTTTAGCTGGGTTTCAATGGAGTATATTTGCAGAGAGAAGAACGAAGAGAAAATGGAAGAATGCAATCTATCAAAATGCTCTGCTTTCTCTCCAAGTCGGAGAGCAATGTGTGTATATTCTTCTTTTTAGCAAACACGCACTAAGGCATGTATAACAAAACCGTTAGCCTTAGCTGGATGCACACAAGCAATATTACATCTCAGCCTTACACTTCTCATTTTCTAAGACAAAGTGAATACACAATTAAATACAAGGCTTATTAATCCTAAACTCATATTAGCTCAAAGCTTATACACTAATAGCCCAAAAAGGGCTATCTTGCTTTGCAATGAGGAATGAGCTCAAAGATATGTTGTTGTGAGCTTGAGCAATGGTGGAAAATGTGAGTATCTGTAGAAGGAGAAGTATAAAGCATAAAGGATATGGTAGTTGAAAAGTCATGGTACATAATTAAGGAGTTAAGGGTGAAACTGTTGATGGGAATCATTTGCATTATATTTATATATTCCATCAGTTGTGGTGTCATCTACAATACCTTATGATCATCGATGATCCATTTGAGATGTTTAACTGAATGTGGATTATTCCTGGTCCTGCCAAGGTAATATGCTTATGTTCTGGTTTGCTGCCCACATAAGCAGCTAAAATGCCAAACAAATACAGTTCTCTCTTGCTGTTTGTATTATGCGCCATTTGATGCTTTGCTCGGCATATTGACAATCTCTTTTGTTAGACTTCTTCATCCACAATAAACTTTGTCACTGTTGGCTTGTGTGGATGAGTGTGCTTTCATTTCATAAGAACTAAGTTGCAAGATGTCATCTATCTTTGGTAGCTTCCTTGGAAGAATCTTTGGACAGCTAAAGAATGTCATCTCTACAAGCCTCACTTTAATTTGGCTTGAAACAGGTCTTAATGCCTCCGTTGGGAGGCCTTCGTTTTGGTGAACCCATTTTATTTGTCAGTCCATGCATCATTTTCATGGTGCTTATTCAATAGATATACGAAATAATTCTTTCGGCAACAAATAATCTCCCAAGAATTGATTGAATTTCGGTTAGCCAACACAAAATTTCTTGTGTCAAGCATGGCTGCATAGGAAACTCCAGTGCCAGCAGAATCAACACTCCATATCTTTTTGCCTGCTGCATCATTGAGCAGAAACCGAAAGCAAATACTCCAGACGGTGAGGCCCAGAAAGATGTATCGTCCTGTGCAATGAGGGACGAACCCAAAGATATGCGAGTTGAAGAAGGAGAAGTAGAAAGCATAAAGGATATGCTAGTTCAAATGCCATGGGAGCAAGGAGCATATGTCTCCAGTGTTTAGAGGAGTACTTCATGGCAAACAGTTTATGAATATGACCATTTGCATTATATTTTGCATGGCAGCATGGAAAAATGGGCCTAGGCGGGTCTGGGCGCCTGGGCAGGTCGGGTGGCTGCTTCTCTACTCTTCTCGACCCAACCAGTGACAGCTACAGCTTCTTCTCCACTCGTCAGAGAAAGAGGAGAGACGATGGAGGTAGAGACGATAGAGGCGGAGAGATGAGAGATAAGTGAGGATAGGGCGTTGTCCAAAAAAAAAAGGTGAAGCTAGTGTTAGTGAAACGCTGTGTTTCACTTATGGACTGGTATTTTAACAAGGTTCTCTTATGGGCTTGGGCCACAATCACAACCAAAATTTTTATCTACTAGCCTAATCCTATTCATTCATATTTAAGATCCCAGAGATAACGTAGCCAGCATGACATGATGAAAAAGGATAAACATTGTATCAGTCCCTGAAAACAACCCATGCCCAAAATTGATAAGCTCAAACTCTACTCTGAAAAACTAGTCTGCACTCAAGTCCACTGAGCTCAACTACCTCTTTGAAATCTGATTTGCTATCTCCTCGAAGTACCCAATCACACGCTGCCACGCCAAAAGGGCCCACAAAGATTAATTATAACGGAAATTCCCTAATTAGTCTGTATAAAGCTATTCTAAACCACACCCATACTGGCTCTCGTTGGCATTTAGCAGCTACAGTCAATGCCAAACATCGTCGTCTTCGTCTTCTTCTCTTCTCTGAAACTCTCTCTCTATAAATATATTCTCTCTGTATATATTATCTCTTTCTAAAACGAAAACGTAAAAGTGAACATGCAAAGACTATTTGCTGCGAGGTCTCAATGCTCTGCAATTTTCAAAAATCGGAGAAAGTGTGCTTCTTTTTCTACCGCTTTACTCTTCGATGATACTCAGATTCAGGTCTCTCTCTCTC